GGCGTGGGGGCGCGTTCAGGCGCGCAGCGTCCGGGGTGGCGCGAGGGGTTCGCGGGAGCGTACGGGCTGGGTGGTGGTTTGGTGGCAGCTAGAAGAGGTCCCTCCACCAAGGAAGGCTTCCTTTGCATCAATCACACCTCCACACCACACACGCGTATACACAGACACACACATTGAGCGGATATCACAAGACACACTGACCACCATGATATGTGATTATATAATGACTGCGCCCGTCATCTGTTATTGGTCATATGATCTCACCTGCGTGATGGTCTTGCTGATCGACTCGGCCGACGGCGCGCTGCGCACCCGCGCCGCCCCCGCCGCCAGCCACGCGCCCGCCGTCACCTCCACCTCCCGCGGCATCGTCGCCGTGAATAGCAGCACCTGCGGCCGCCGCCGCCGCGCCGCCCTGTCGGCCGCGACCGTTCCACCCTCCGCCTGCCCCTTGCGCTTCTTCTTCCTTGGCCCATCTTCTTTGCCTTCGCCGCCGTCCGGCGCCGCCGGCGGCAGCAGCATGCACCGGAGGCGGTCCAGCTGCGGCGCGAAGCCGAGGTTGAGCATCTTGTCGGCCTCGTCGAGCACGACGCACTCGACGGATCCGAGGTTGAGGGCGCCCGCGTCGACGAGGTCGAGGAGGCGGCCCGGGGTGGCCACCAGGAGCTGGGGGTTCTTGGAGAGAGCCTCGATCTGGCGGGGAGTTGATGGGGTTTCAAAAAGCGATTATGTATGGAAGTGAATGTGTGTGGGCAGACAGACGGTTGTAAAGATTGTGCGTGGGCGCGTGCGCGTGAGGGTCTGTGTGTGTAGATTGGTGCATCAGTGGTCGTCGATATGAAGACGTTGCACAACGGAAGCATTTGGGCAGTCGCAGCGGCCTGGCGAGGATGAAAATCACAACCAAGGCACACCAGCTGCACCCGCCGACAGCCCTGAATCGCCCCGCACAGCGCCGGCCGCGCGCAACACGACGCGCCGCGCCCGCCACACCTGCCGCTCCCGCAGCACGCCGCCGTAGACGACCGCGCTCGCCGCGCGCGTCGGCGCCCGCAGCGCGCGCGCCGCGCCGGCGACCTGCAGAGCCAGCTCGCGCGTCGGCGCCAGCACCAGCGCCAGCGGCGCCGCGGCCGCCGCATCCGCCGCCCCCGCCGCCGCCTGCCGCCCGGCCTCCCGTGCCTCGCTGATGCGCATGAACGCGGGTATGAGATACCCCATGGTTTTGCCGCTCCCCGGCTCCGCGACGGCCTGCACGTCCCGCCGCGCCGCCGCCGGCGGCCAGGCCGCCGCCTGGATCGGCGTCGGCTCCGAGAACCCCAGCGCGGCCATGCAGGCAGCCACGAGCGGGGGGTACCCCTTCAGCGCCTCGGGCACCTCTTGCGCCGCCGCAGCCCCCTCCTCCCCCTCCCCCTCGCCCCGCGGGCGCCGCTCCTGACCCTTCGGCTTCCCCTCGCCTTTGCCGCCGTCCCGGATCGCCTTCGCCTGCGCCGCGAGGGCCGAGGGGTCGAGCAACCGGACGCTGGTCGTCATCCTCGCGCCCCTCTCCGCGGCCGCCACCGCCTTGGCCTCCGCCCGCCTCTTCTCGTCCCTCTCGTGCTTCTCCTGATGCTTCCTGATCGCCGCCTCGTCGTCGCTGTCGTCGCCCGCGCCACCGGGGCCGCCAAAGGCAACAGAGGAAGGGCCGCGTGCGGGCGCGGCGTCGAAGCCGTCGTCGCTGCCGCTGCCGTCCTCGCGGCCGTCCCAGTCGCGGTCCTCCTCCGTCAGGGTCGGCGGCTGGTAGCAGGGGCCCCTGGGTGGTTGGGGTGGTGAGTGAGGAGCCGGCTGATGGCGTGGGCGCGAGGTGGTGGGGTGGCGGGACAGTGATCATGCACACGGGAGGGCTGGGGTCTTGCCCACGACGCGGTGCGGCATGGAAGGCGGCTGCCCTTTGGGCAGGGGCCGTACTGGGCTGCTGGGTGTGCTGAGCGCGCTGGGTGTGCTGCGGGTTGTGACAGGGCGGCGCGTCCCCACCTGCACAGGCGGCGGGGCTGGTTCTTCTTTCGCACGCGCTTGCCCTGCACGTCGCTCGGGGCCCCGTCGCGCGCCATGCGCTTGCGACCCTTCTTGGCAGACTTGCGCGCGTTGTAGTCCTGCCCCATGGCTGCCGGCTACAGGGGCTGCTTCTGCTTGCGCAGCAGCGGCCGCTGCACTGCAATGGGCGCTCGCTTGAGACTGCGGCGGCGGCTGCGCCGCCCGCTGCTGCGGGTACCGCTGACTATGCGCTTGGCACTGAACACAGCTTTGGGCGGTTGCTAGAGGATTTCGAAATCAGAGTGTTGATAGACAGAGCACTTCGCTGCGTCTTGCGTGGCACTGCTGACGACAAGCTTCTTGCTGACAATGCGCGCAGTGACAACTGTGCGCAAGACAAGCCTGACGATCAATTCATGTAAAATCATCAGCAATACACAGGGAGGTGCTCCATGCGATCTGCATGCGAACTGCAATGATTGTTTGCGCCGCGTTCCCTTCTACTCGAGTGTGTCGCGATACAAAGCGGAACTTGTTAACAGAGGGCTTGATTTCCGGTAGCCTTATGCCGACTGCTGTCCCGCTGCATCACTCGCACACTCACTGCCAGCCCAGTCCAGCAGCGCAAGTCCAGCACGACCCCACTGCCAGCCGGCCCAACTGTAGCTTGGTTACTCGGCTGGGTCAGTTACCTCCCTGCCACTCGCTTCACATACTGTACATCAACACTGCTCAAGCCGCCAGCACACCGCAACATGCATACGTGCGGGTCCCCTGCTGCTGCCGAGGCGCGCCCGCTCGCCGCGCCGCGTCAGGCCGGCGCCCTCGCCCCTGCGCCGCGCCCTGCCTGCACCGCGCCGCGCCGCGCCGCATCAGGCCTTGGCAAGCAGCGCGTCCACCGCGGCCGCCCCCGCCACCAGCTTGCCCCACTGGTCGAGGGTCATGCTCAGGCCCTTGGCGCCCGGCAGCTCCCGCCCGTCCTGCGGAGACCGGCAAGATGCATTCTTGAGCCGTTGAGATGTAGGTGCACATGCCTCTCAGGTCAGTGCATACAACAATAAAGCGCCCTTTAGGCTGGGCCGCTACCCGGTAGATGTGTCGCAACGGGCGGACGGGCAGCCGAACAGCAGAGAGCTGCAAGCGAGCGCAGCCGGCGGCATTGGTGTTGCCCCCCCCACACAAAGCCAACCCCACCGCATCGGACACACGCGCCCCCGAAACCTGCGCCGCGCAGGCCGAGCGATCGCCGCGGATGACGCGGAACGACCGAGCATCCCCAGTGGCCGGCGCAGGCTGCAGGGTCGCAGCCGCACGTGTGCATGACCGCACGTGTGCATGGGGGCGCGTGTGCCCCCTCACCCTCTCATAGTGCTGCCCAACCGGTTCTTAGTGCCCCCTCACCTTTTCATAATACTCCCTCACGCCAACATAGAGGGTGCCCTTGAATTCTGAGAGGCTCAGCTTGCGCCTGGATACATGAGAGGCGCAGTTTGGCAATAAACACGCGGTGGGATCGAGGCGGGGAGGGCCAGGGGGTCGAGGGGCAGGGCGCAAGAAAGGTTACTGCAGGCAGCAGGGGCGGTCAAGGGTTGCGCATCGCCGCGACGCGGCCAGACTGCCAAGCGCATGCATGGGGTCAGGGGTCACTCAGGGG